CACACTTTTTAACCCAAAAAAAAAAAAAAATTAAAAACACTTATATTATTTTTTTTTATTTATTTTAATAACGGGCCCCCCCCCCCCCCCCCTCCCTCTTTTTCGTAAAAATTTCGGATTTTGAGCTGAGCATAGCCTAATGTAGAGGAAACTGTGGACTACAAAATAAGATCACTCCTAGTACTCCACAACCTTTTTTCAAAAATTTATAGATTTTTGAGTTTTTCCTTCAAAACCTAAAAAGCCTCAAGTTTTCAGTTTCAAGCTTTTCTCTCATTTTCTGCAAAACAAAAGTATCTGATATGCCATTCGACGTAATTCGTCTGGTGATCTCAAAAACGTTATTAATTTTGCTTGTAAATATATGGGAAGCGAGAAGGAAGGAAAATAAATGAAATGTGGAAAGCTGAAAGTGAGGTTGACTGCTTCTTGATAATGTTTCACATAGGCGTTTTATTACTACTAGCTTTTTCAGACTCGAGCCGATTTGGACGGTAATCGGCGATTATCTCCAGAACGGAAGTGAAGTAGTTCTAAGTGAAAAACTCAAGTTTTTAGTTTCAAACTTTTCTCTCATTTTTTGTACATGCAAAATTTTTCTGACTCATAGTCTGATAGAAGAAAGTGTTTTCTTCACAATCAGACTTTTTACAGCATTTTCCGATGAGTTTTCGCAGAGATATAAGCATCATGGTAAATGCAGTGAAAAGTGATGTACAAAATGCGTTTTTTCTCGAAAACTAGTTTTTTGCTATCAGGCTTCATTGTGCCACATTACGACCCCCCTTAAATTTCATCTGATCAAGTTCAAAATTTTACCAGAGACACTCAAGACACTATTGCAGAGAAAGTGTTTTGGAATTTTATTTTAGACTTTTCTTTACTAACTTATACGGTTACTAAAACTGAAAAACTTGGTTTTTGAGACGTTTTTCAGTATTTTTCCTATAACTCGACAGGAAAGGTCTCAACAAAATTTCCTAAAAATGAGCTCTGCGGAATGACCTTGAGTACCTCTGGTAAAATTTTCAACTCGATCGGATGGGATTTGAGAGGGGTCGTAATGTGGTACAACGGAAAACCGAGTTTTCTGAAAAAGTGAAGAACGACAATAGTTGAAAACTTGAAACAGAAACGAAAAAGTGCTTTATTGAGTTTCCGATCAGTTCTGAAAATACGAAGCCCTAGCGACTTTTAGTTTTTATTTCACAGCATTTATATGGAAAACCCAAAAAGAGAGGCGGGGTACCCTTAATCAAATTAACTTCGTGAGGCAAATAGCTACCCCCTTGGAGATTAACCCGTATTATCCATTCCAAGCATGTTTTATGGCGTGTAATGCCATAATTTTAAAAAAAGTATGTTTCATAGCGTTATAACAGGAAGAAATAGGATTTCTACACAAAGTTTTACGGTAGGATTTTGTAAGAAATGCAGAAGGTTCCTATTATGGGGATATAATTTTTGCTATCGTCCTATATCAAGAATTCTACGGAATTCCTGCCGTAGGATTTTGTAGCCTACATTAGGGATCCTATGAAATTCTATTATCAGGAAGATCCTAGTAGGATTGCTTGATTTGGAATGTTATCAATAGTAATTTTTTTGGTATGTTTTTTGTGTAGTTTCCCCATTTTACTCTGGATTGTACTTAAACATGTTTTTAGACACATGGTTACTGTCTCGACACCGAGTGCTTTTGATGCTGTCGTTTGTCATCCAAAGCCACAGTTTACACCTACAAAAATATTAATGAGTCCCAAACTAATGCTTCTATACTAGGGGAATGTTTTAATCGTTTTCATGCTGATTTCAGTATCGTTAATCTTTTTACATTTTCAGACTAATTCTTTATTAAAGTGTTGATTTGTGTTACTAATCTATTTCTTGATGAATGTGTAAAAGTACTGAAATATTAAGAGTACCAAACAAAAGATAACAAAACAGTTAAAATCAAATGTTAAAGCAGTAGTACTAATCTCTCGTGTCTTCTAACGAAAATAAGAACAGACAAACATTTTATTTTACACATTAAAGTCATTTTTATCTTCTGCCTCATGGCTACTAACCAACCTTTAGTTATATATATAGATTAACTTCATTATTTTTTTCTTGTTTTCACAATTCAAATGCTGTACGTGCGTATATGTTTATAAGTGGAAATCGAGAAAACTGTTTACGTTATTATAAAGCTTTCTAACTCATTTCCACAACATACTGAAAGTTTAAGTAAACCGCTGGTAAAGCGGTGCGAAATAAATAAGAATACTTTTTTATTCATATTATAAGAAGCTTTGGTGTTAATTCCTTGCTGAACCAAATTAGATAAAACTTGGGTGTCAGGTGCAACATTTCTCGGTAAAATCAGACAGCGGGTTCTTTTTAATTTCATTCTGGCTTTGACGTTCACATAATCTACGTGGTATTTTCCTAAATTTCAGCGGATTTATCGAGAATGTTGCACCTGATACCCAGTTTCTATTTAAATTGGTTCCGCATGGAGCTAGTACCAAATTTTCGAATGTGAAAGTTTATCGAACTCTCGCAGTAACGTCCTTTGATTAGATATGTGCAGTGCCCCCTACAATACAACTAATTATCATCCCAACAGCACTATTGCTGTAGATTCTTCCAAGAATAAAGCTTACACTATACGAGAAGCAAACCCAGCCGATATTAGTCAAATAACCGAAATTTACGCTCATTATGTCAACTTTGACCTATGTACCTTTGAAGAAATAGCACCGACTATTGATGAAATGTTAAAGCGATATACCGACATTACTGAACAAAAGTTACCATACATTGTAGCCACGACAGACAATGATATGATATTAGGCTACGCTTACGCTGTGCCTCATCGAACTCGATCTGCTTATCGTTTTACTGTTGAAGATTCGATTTATGTTTCACCTTCGGCGTTGCGGTTGGGTATTGGATATGCATTATTACGTGAATTAATTAAACTTTGCACTTTGTTAGGTCATAGACAAATGGTGGCTGTGATAGCAGACTGTGGCAAACAAAATTCTATTCAATTACATGAACGTCTAGGATTTAAGCGTGCTGGTTTATTGTCATCGGTTGGCTACAAGAAACAACGTTGGATCAATACTATACTCATGCAAGTCGCCCTTGGAAATGGTGATAAAACGTCGCCTAATTCGTAGATTCGTTAGGCTAGTTATAACCGTTATAGATAAGAAAAGAATATCAGATAGCTAGACAAAATTCCTAAATATACATGTTTATTTCATACGTGTAGAATAGAAATTAAATATGATATTGAATATTTATGCACTTGTCTATTATGTAACCTCTCATTCCCGGCATATTTAACGTAGCTGTCATGCAATCAAGTGCGCTCTTTCTAATGACACCTAACAAAGATGTCAATAAAACGTATTGATAGGGAATCTATCTTTTGGACAGTAGGTCGAAATCTGCCGCATGTGGTTTTGATGCTTGAACATAGCAGAAAAGGAAAAGATATTCACTCAGAATTAAGGGAGATATTCGTATTATGGCTCAGTAGCTTTAAAATTAAAAAAATATGCTAAAAAGCGTTAAATTTTGGCTGAGTTACATGAATTTTTCCAGAACATGCGATACTACAAAACAAAAACACGGTTTTGTTGAAGATCTGAAAAAAGTAAAAGTTATTTTGTGCGATAGAAATTTGCTGTGAAATTGTTCTAATACACGTATAAGATAGAGCCTTTCGAGCTCTACAAAATGCCTTCATTAATTTTTTTATATCTCAGCACCGACACACGTAAATACAAAAAAACTGAATTTTGTGCTTGAAAGTTGTTGATGTTGTACGTTTTCGGTATTCCTAGAATAACTTTTTTAGTTTTAGTTTTATAACAAAAATTAGTCTATGGTCTTGTAGAGAACTGAAAATCAAATCGCTGAATTAATTATTTATTGTCGTCATTACTAAATACGGCACTCCTAAATGCATACTCACCGATAATGGCAGCCACTTTACCGCAAAATTAATTGATGAATTATTTAAAAAATTCGGCGTCACTCACATCTACTCAACACCATATCATCCTCAAACTAACGGACAAATAGAGAGATTCAATGCAACCACGGATGCAAAAAATTGCCATTCTCTATAATGATCGTAAAACAGACTGGCGTGATCAGTTACCATTCGTCGCTTTCAACTATAATACGTCTATTCATGCTATCACTAAACAAATTCCGTTCGAAATGATGTTCGGCCTACCGGCAATGCTTCCCTTCAATCATCAAGATCCAAACGTCGTGGTCTCACAAGATCCTGAGCACTTGTTGAAATTGAATTCCATTACGTCATCATCAATATCTCAAGCGAGAGAAAACATCGTTAAACATCAGAAACAGTATAAAGAACGTTATGATAAGAATCGATCTAATCCTAAATATTTAATTAAAGATCTTGTCCTCTTTAGAACATTAAATCCACGTCATAAATTCGATTTACGATTCGAGGATCCCTTTTGAATCATTCATCGGTCAACAGCTAAAACTTCCATGGTCGAACATATAAAATAGTCAACATTACATCGACAAGTCACCATCAACGTTTTAATTCCGTTGTTTGAAAGAAAAAGTTAAGATTCTCCTTAAACGGAGAATCGTAGATGATCAAAAATGTCAGACAGATAATTCTGACTAGAATTCATCGAATAACCAGCACGGGAAACGGGATTTAGTTATGCTAGCCGGGGAGTAACGAATTGTGGTCACTGACTCGATGGGCTTTCAGATTAACCCATCTGGTCCTTATTTGATTAGTTGTATCTTTATATTGTGAAATTGCATCAGAGGTTCAGATTTAGTCCGAACCGTCATATTCTTTCGTGATTTTAACCTGTGCACTTAGAATTTAAAGAAGAAGTGAATTTTCACAAGTAGTTTTTGACAAAAGCCATCTCAGATCATCTTTGCACTGCAACATCGTGTAAAATTGGAATCATTCATTAAAGAAATCGACGGAAAAAAGGCGAAGGGCTGCGTATGTTTCTATGAGAAATCACGTCCTCATTTAATTTCTAATTGAACCGTTTGTCTTTCTCATGTTTAGGATGGTCTAATATGAAGAAGCAAAATACATACTTGCTTAAGAAACACTAAAAAGCAATCAAAGACGATCATTACGAAAAATATCAAAAATCATTATTATTCAAATTTAACCGATTGTATCATCGACAAAATCGCCCACGTCCTAGACAACCACCGCCAGTAAATGAACCGTATGTTCGAGCAGAAGATCGTCTTCCTCCGACATCAAGGTTAGCTTTAGATCTGCCTCAGGCAGATCGTTCTTCATCGTCGTTAAGTCATTATCGTGATCGTTCTACATCATCCTCAAATCATTATAAAGATCGTCCTCTATCATCAACAAGTTATCGTCATCGTCATCATAAAAAACAAACAACACCAATTATGAGAAGAGCACCAAATGATCGACGGCATTATCCTTATCGGTAAATTGATTCACACTAACAGTTAAACCATGGCTACTGGAAGGAAAAGGACAGCCCTCTTTTTTTCTTCTTTACCTCTTGCTGCCTTTCCAAATAAAAGACTCAAATTTTACTTTATCAAAGTTTCTATTATTTTCTATCGTTTAAAAGAATATACATTTTTAACTCTTAGCGCTCTTCTGACTCAAGGCTAACAGTCACCAGATTAAACAACGTGATATTCGACCGAGTCCGCGCAACTCACAGAAGGTGGGCACCAACCAAATAAAAATGTTATGCTCTCATCTGCTCACTTGAAAAAGGGCATATGTATTTAAGCGGCACAAAATTCATATGGGAGACGAATCATCAGCCTTTGAAGCAGCTGAATTTGAAGGCACAAACAAAAAAGAAGGTGAATGATAAAGATTAAAAATTGGTGAATATGATTTTGTTGTTAGGCATATTAAAGGAATCAATAATGCCATGCGCGATTATCTGTCAAGATCACTAGTTGACGATGCTGAAGATCTGGATGAAAATATTTTTGTATGTTCAAAATCGACTCAAACAGACATGGAATCGTTAACAGCTTCGTTTGTAATTATCACCAGCGTGCAAGCCCGTTCGAAAAAACAGACGTCCAGTGATATTTCAAAAACGGTAACGATAACAGTATCCGATCCAACGATTTATTTTCGACTAGTCCGTCTACCATTATACATTTTCTTTTTCAATGCCTTCTCTTTTTTAATGTTTTTTCTTTTTCAGTGTCTTTTGTTTTTCAATGTGTTTCGTTTTAATGAAGGATTTGGAAAGAAGACGAGTGCTAAGGTTGGATTGGTACTGGTTGATAGAAAGCTATTGAATGATAAAAGCCCTCCAAGAGTATTCTTTATCTTTTCAAGCTCATATGTTGTTATACCTTGGCCACGATACACAGTCAGTTTTCTTTCTGTATTG